TCTCCAATGATGGAGGGAAAGAAAAATTTTTTTTTGAATCTTTTTTCAAATTCACTTGGCACCTTAAATTCAGATGGTTGTCAGACACCTAGTTTTTGCAGTGGATGAGTCAACTTTTCAGACATGAGAAATATCTTAAAAATTAATGCCTGAATGGACTTTGCCGTCTGAATCAGGTGAGATATCCTAATAGTGAAATGTTTGAATCGCTCATAAATAACTGAATTTCAGACAGAAAATATCTGAAAATAAATACCTGAAATTTTTCAGACACAAAAAATGTCTACCATCATTTTCAGACAGAAATTGAGCAATACAAACTATTTTATAGACAAAATGAGTAACATTTGATTTTTCTGTAGAATTGACGAAAAACTATAATTGTAATTTCTGTAGAACTATTCTACAGAAAGACTATAGAATATTCAATAGGAATCTAATAGAATTTTCTAGCGTTGGATTTTTTAATCATTTTTTTGTGTGCATGGTCATGATGTGTCTGGGATTTTTTGATGCAATTAATATTCTAGGCAAATGTGAATTACAATGGTTGTTTAAGTCAATATTTATTGTCAACATTGATTGTGGATCGTTGCAATTGTAAAACACTACTCCTCCTCATGTTTTAAATTTCATAGAAAAACTTGACAAATTCTCGAAAAAATTCTATTGGATTTCTATTGAACTTTCTATTAATGTCTGGTCGATTGAATTAAAAAATTTCGCTGCTTTTCTACGCGTTGTTCAATAGGAAATGTACAATAGAAAATATTCTATAGAAAAAATCAATAGAATTGGATGTTTCTATACAACGTATCCTGTTGACATATTTTCTATAGAATATTCTCGGTTTGAATTTTTTTTTTGTTTATTTTTTTTAAAGAAAAAATAGAGCGTAATAAACTTCGAAAATTTATGTCGAGGAATTCTTATAGATAAAGTTGTAAAAAATGTGCTCTAATGCTGCAGAATTCTCGAATAATTTTCTATGAAATTTTCTCTTGCGTGTTATAATACAGTTTTGGAATGCAATTAATTCTCGGTGATTAGTGATTTGAGGATTTTTCAATGTACTTAACGTCAGGTGAATGTGCCACAGATAGAAATCGACGATTGAGTCATCATTAATTATTGATTGTTAAAACGCTGAACTATGGCTAACTAATTATGTTTATTTTCTTCAAGTCAAAATATAGTTTTGTAGTGAAATCGATTCTTGGTGATTAATTATTTGAGTTGTTCTGATGTAATCAACATCAGGTGAATGTGACAGGTGGAAATGACCGATTCGCTGAATATTAATTTCTGGTGATTGAAAGTGTGGAATATTACTAACTGATTTTGTTCATAATTTTAATTTTTTTGAGTCTAGAATCGGTCTGAAATTGAACTTTTGAAATTTATTTTTTTTAATTTTCTTTTTCAAGTATTTAATGTCACATGGATGTGACGCAGGTGGAAATGATCGATCGAGTCGTCGTTAATTGATAATTGTTGACATTATTAAACATTACTGACTAATTATGTCTGTAAATTATTTTTATAGCCATAATTCTCAACAGATTTTGATGCACTCAGGCATAATTTATTCGTCAGGAACTCGACATGTTCCAAAAAATTATGCAAATTTCTACTATAAAATAAAACTACAGAGTGAATAATTCGCTCCGCCGAAAAAGTATACGGTCCACGTGAGAATATTTGATGGAGTGGAACAGATTTACTCGAGGGAAATTAACCAACTGAATAAAAGGAAATTTGATATATTTCACAAAAATTGAATTTTTGTCGTGATCATTAGAAATATTCTTAGAAAACTGCAAACGGTTGGCAGGAAAAGAATATTATTTCATGAACTATCATGACCACGAGAGTAAATTAAACAGAACAAACAATTTTTACAGTGAAATTCAGAGTACTATGCACAAAAAAATTTAGTAGAAAAGTCTAGCTAATTCGCTAGTTAATTTTATTGAAATGTTCAACAGAAAATATCCTATAGAGAAAGTCAATAGAATTTTATTTTTCTATAAAACTTATTCTATTGGGATATTTTTTATAAAATTTCCTCGACTCAAAGTGTGTTTCATTAAATTTTTCTTTTATTTTCATCAAGAAAATCAAATAAAAAAACTTGAGCAATTTGAGCCGAGGAAATTTTCTATAGAAAATATCGAGTAAGTTGTATAAACAAATCTAATTCTATTGACGTTTTCTGTAGAACATTTTCTATTGAATATGGTTTACAGAAAAATATTGAATATTGATGGTATTGAATATTGGTTTTTCTATTATATAATTTAATAGAAAAACCTAGCGAATTCGCTAGTTAATTCTATTGAAATGTTCAACAGAAAATATCCTATAGAGAAAGTCAATAGAATTTTATTTTTCTATAAAACTTATTCTA